AGGACCTAGTTGCAACTCTCCTGCATTTGGAGGACTATTAATACCCAAGTGATGGAGAGAGAAGAGTGAGATAAAGGACGGCACGGACCAAACCTGAATCTCAATATTGCCATTTTGCTTTCTGGGACATTTAAAAAAGAGAGATGGATGTAGCTGTTTTTAAGAGTGTAGTGATGAGGAGGCTGAAAATGAACTTTTTTCCTTAAGACCTAAATTGGAATTTTAGCCCACCTTTTGAAAACGGTGAAATACAGCAGGAGCAGTGCCACTAAAATACAAGTAGAACTGAGCTGGGCAGTTACAGAAACACATCTTAAAACAGTAAGATACAGCTGAAAAGCTCAAATGTGCTGAGACTGTGGCCACTTTTTAGATAGTAACCCACACAATAGGCTATTTATCACGTGCTGATGTTTTCTCAACAGTTTTTAAAGGTTAAATAGATTTTGAACCAATTCATGTTGCTCTGACAATTTTATGAGAATAAAAATTAAAAGAACACAATTATAACCACTTCAAAAAGTTTGCTCAGGGTTTAGCATCAGACAACAGGTATTGCACTACAGGTTTTCAGATGGTGACATGCAACTGTTCCTGGAACCTTCAGTCACTTAGGCTGCTGTAGTTCACAAAACTGATTTTATTTAAATAAACAAGTAGAATTGATACATATTTTCTTGAGCACTTTAGAAGATGAGAGATTCACTGCAACAAGTCATATTTTTAAATACAAAAGGGGAATTAGTAAAAAGTTAGGTTCATATCCAACATGAAACATGAACATGTTGCTTTCAGGAGCTTCAAGTTTTAAAGACTGAGAACTCTACTTACATCAGACAGTTCAAACACATCCACATCACAAAATCTTAGTATTGCACTACAGTTCCTTGTTCAAAACACACAATGCACAATGTGCATCTGCATTACCCACATATAAAGGACCACCAGCACACACCAGTGCAGCCAGCCAGAAAAAAACCTAGAAAAAGCCAGAGGGGCTGGAGGTTTGCTGGGAGAAGTATGGCAGTAAAATTGAGCACTTCGGACCACCAGTATCTAACACAAGCCCTGTTTCTTGCTGGTAATACAACAGACATTAGAACTGCAGCTGTCCTATGCAGAGGTAGCATAACACTATTGCTTTACAGACTTTCTTTTAATAAGGCTTGTCTTAGCTGAAAGCCATGTGATAACTGAAGAGTTCTTGTAGCCCAAAGTACAGTATGGCAGCACTTTGGGATCCACTTGTTTAGCAACAGCTGCCAAGTTCAAGTAGGTTCACTATCTCTTTGAAATCTGCTGCAGTACATAAACAGTTCTGTGTGAAGATTACGTCTTTTCTCCCCCTCATCCTCAGCTATATGGAGAATGCTAACAGTCAAGAACACACCAGCGGGTGACAGATGAACTGGAAAACAGAAGTCCTATCGAGCTATAAAAAGGTCCTACTTTGCCTAAAAAGACAACTTGGAAGGGTTGACAGGCAAAACACTTCTGTTCCATGGACAATACAGGAAAACAAGTGAGAGTAAAACATTTGCGAAAGACACACACTGCCACTGTGGTGCTTGAACCCCCACCCACCTCACCTTTTTTCTAAAATTCAAGACAAAGGTCATTTTAATGTTCATTGAAGGTAGAGGTCCTGGGCAGGGGGAATGACATCAAAGCTGAATGCTACTATCCCAAAACAGTCCAATAATAAACCAGGGCAGTTTTCTAATTTACAAATGCCCCCCCTTCTTTTGTCTGTTCCAATCTACTTCAGCATCTTTAATTAAAATGAAGTCACAGAGTGTGTGAGGAGAACAACTTTTCATCGTATTTACATCCACCTCACTTTGCCTACCAGGCGCTTGGCTCTGCTGAGGCACTCAGGTGCTACCGTAATACAAATACAACTGTATTCTCAAGTGTGGTTTGGAAAACAGCACAACTAATATTGCATTTGATACTACAAACATGTTGAAACAAATTCCACACATACAAACATTACAAAGCAACTTCTACAAACCATTAAAGAAAAGGAACCAATTCGCTGATCTTCAGTCCAAACTCCAAGGCCGATTTGTTAGTCACTAAGACCAAAACAACTGAGAAATAGAAATTAAACTAATGTTTAGCTCACATATAATTACATTTTGTAAAAACAAGTGTTAAGACATTATTAATTTACGAATACATAGAAAATTCAAAATCCCTAACATTGGCGGTACCCCCTTACAGCAAGCCTGTTTGTAGTTTCTTTTCCATCAGTGCCAAGTAACTAATCCCAGACATCAGTGTTGAGATGGCTAACCAAGACATCTCAGGCTGAACAGAGCAACCTCTGTTTTTCCTGTGAAGACACAGCCAGTATCAGCGGCCAGCCGTCACCTGGTACAGATTAACCAGACTCATTTAAAAAAACCATCCCACCCCACCCCTGCTTTTCCAGGGCAGAGAGCCCCAAGATGCCTCAATTAAACCCCAGAACAGAGATGGCCACTCGCAGCACAGCAACCCTTCAGAATGCAACGTGGCCATCTCTTTTTGTTATTTACAGGGTTATGTTTCCCATCCTGTACAGTACAGGGCTAGCTCTTTCCTGCTGTCAGCTTCAATGGCGTTCAATGCATGTCACTTATTACTCATGATAGAAATTTTTTGTTCTTGTTCTTTGTGCGGGTTTTTTTAAAATAAATAATGAAAGTCTACAACATTTTTTTTCAGGTACGTGATTGCTGATTATTATAAAACAATAGTCTGTAAACCAGTTTGGCCTCTGAGGAATTATCAGGCTATCAAGACGGTTGCATCCAAAGAGCAGCACCTTGCGTTGAGCGCAGTGAAGGCGGAGGAGAAGCCCTCCTGCAGCACGAAGCTCCTGCCTGCTGCGGCAGGGAAGCATCAGCATGAAGAATCTACAAGTCTTTGGCGAAGTTTTTTATCTTCTCTCGGACTCGTGTTGCCACTTGCGTCATGCTCTGTCAAAACTGAAGAGAAAGCAAACCTTTAGAAGTGAAAGGGCCGCCAAACCACTCGACATATTCTCATTTACAAAGGAACGGCCACCAAGGCAGTGCTGCAAGGCCGGCTGTCCTGTGCTGTGCTGGAGCTGCTGAGCAGCCTCCAGCTGCCCCCGCGCAGTCCAGACGCAGCACCCAGCAGCAGGATGCCCTGCAGCCTCTCCTGCCCTTACGGTCCAGAGTCAGCATCTACCACTGCTTTGTTAACATGGCTGCTAATTAAAACATGCTGATGCCACTACTGACAGAAGAAAAGATGATGAGCCACGGGCAAAGCTTGGCTGATGGGTGGTGAAGCCTGCAGCTGCACCCAGGCAGAAGGAGAGGGCTGCACGAGACAGAACTGGTCATGAAATGGCAGCTTCTTTCTGTAATGCATTTTAATAGAGCTTCAAGCATGAGTTTGTTCTGTTCTGGAGGAAAACAAGTCTTTGACGTGTTTCTGTGAGATGAAAACAGTCTCAAAAGTTCTGCTTTCAGATAAAAATGAGTCAGATATTCTATTAGTTTTTTCAGCTCCCTGAGCAGAGACCTTCACCCTGGGCTCTTAAATTCTCCTACCAAAACTCACCTACCTGTCATTTCAAAAAAGTGACATATTTGAGGAAAATTATTTTCTGTCACACTTACTCCAAACTGCTGTACTGGAGCTGGCTGCCAGAAGTGCTTCTTCTAGTTTGAAAAGAATTAGGCGTGTTTGTTCTGAACTCCCCTGTTGTATAAATTGACTTCTCCAAACCTCAGCCTACCGGAACTGCTTGACCAAAGTACAGAGGAACAGTTACCCTCTGGGTGCTGCTGCTTCTTTTTTATTAAGTGCAGGGCATAGCTTTCTGAAGAGAAAGTAGATTTAATTTCTTCCTGCCTTTGAAACCGTTCTTGCCCTCAGCATTGTGCTTGTCTCCTCAGGTCAGCTGCTAAACGCTTTAAAGCATCTTCACTTCCACGAGTGAAGCACTTTGTGAAGTGGCAGCCCACAGAGTCTGAACTACTTCGTTCAGGGGACGTAGGCACTGGTGTCCTGCTGCTTCTAAGGGGACAGCTATGACAGTGGCCATGCTCACATCAAATCAGAAGAAAGCTCTTCCATCCCTTTATGCCTCTCCCTGGATATTTGGCTTCTCTAATTCTGCACTTAAGGGAATTAGAATCACATTCAAGATATGCCACATTTTTTAGCACAGAATCTAACATTACATCTCATGTAACAGTGATTGCTCAGAGCCAGTCATGTCTGGGAACTGGTGTAAATATTCAGAGAACAGCTGCACCAATCCAGATCGACTCAGACCATGTTGGCAAAAATCACTTTACAGACAATCTCCCTTTCTCTCTGCATAAGAAGGAACAGGAGCATGTTCACCGGCCCCAGTCCCATTTCCCTTCTTCTGTCATTTTCTGTTCCTCTACCAGCGGCATTTCTGAGCATCAGACTTATTTTTACACTTATCTAAGATTTCTGCCAAAGCCTGAATGAAAAGCAGAAGCATCAGTTACTACTCTTTTGAGCTAATCTCTGAAAAACAAATGTCCTGAAACCACCAGCTTTCTCACTGGAGTTTCTTCAAGCGTAACCTACTGCAGACCAATCTAGTGCTCTTCCACTGTGCAGGTGGTCTTAAGGAGTTCACGTTCAGACAGCTGAAGCCTCTTACTGCCAGAGCAGAGATGGCGGCAAGGACCACCACTTCAGTGCCTAGCCTGTGCCACTGACTTGCAACACCACAATCTTCTGGCACATATGTGAAGTTACAGTGGTTATACTGCAAACAACATAGCAAGGTCTAAGCAGATCCATTTTCTTGTAGAATATATTAAAATGGTTTTGGTAGGAATACAGGACAAGATGAAACCTGCATTTTTTATGCATGAATGAATTTTTGGTTTAATGGGTTCCTTCTCTCTCTATACCAGCACGTTTGGATGTGGTGTGGTTTTTGTGGTGTTTCTTTCCTTGATTTTTCTTTTTAAAGAAAGAGCAGGTCACCTTACCTTGTAGCTCTGTTGCATTTTTTTCCAGCTCTTCTGTAGTTGTTTCTTCAGGCTTCTCCAACACAGCTGTCCCTGGCTTCCCATCTACGGTATCTGTCTTAATAGTACCAAGGTTTACCAAAAGTTGCATGACATCAAACTTCTCAGAAACTGCAATGTTCTCCAGCACTTTGAGGCATTTAAATGATTTAAGTTCACTCACATTTTCCTCAAGAAAGAGGAGGTAAAGGCTTAAGTCATCAAAACACTTTGACTTCAGTTTCAGAACATCGAAAGTTGGCAGGACTTCATACATTTTAAGGATACCCGAATTCCACCGCCACGGAAGAAACATTGCATACACTACCAGTGGCACGATTAGAAGATAGACTATCAGGTTAATATAGCTGAGTACCTTGAAGACACCAACAGCAATAAGCTTGCACTGAACCACTTCTGGAACAGTTGTGTCATTCTTTAAGATCCCAGTTTTGATAGTGCAGAGAAACTCATCACTCAAAGAGGAGAGGCTAATGTAGTAGCCCAGGTAGAGGCATGCAATGAAAATAATTACTAATGTGAGTAAACGACAGATAATGTATTTAACTATTAAGCATTTGGAATTCTTCTTTGTCTTCAGGTACTGCTCCACAATTGGGTATTTAAAGTGGCTTTCAGATATCTCCCACAAACTGAAAGAGAGGGGAAAAAACCAAATCACATATATCAGCTGCTGCAGCATTCACTTACCTCAAACTTCAAAGAAACCTAGTACTCTAAAATAGACACAAGACAGAGTCCCTCTTATTGGGGTAAATCAAGGGCAGCTTTACTGAAGTCAATAGAAAAATAACAGAATAGCAGACAAATGAAGAATATTGACAGTCTAATACAGAAAAGCCACTTAAGAAACAAAAGAGCTCAAACATTGGAAAATGGAAAAAAAGCATGGCCCTTGCAGAAAAAAATATATTTTTGTTCTTTTCCAATACAAAACGGGTATAATAAGCAAACCCATGAGTAAAAGCAGACTTCCCAAGCACTTGTTCGATAATAGCACACTGGAAGGCTTTTTTCTGTCAAGACTTAACTCCACATTTTAAAGAACAGACCTATGTCCCCATTGCATTGCTTGTACCCCTACATGCAAAGAGAAACATGTACCCTGACCCAGGATGAAACAGAAACGGGATCTGGTTAGAACAGTGCACCTATCTGATCAGAGAGGGGGGTTTGCTTTTGTTGGTTTTGCTGTTTTGGTTCTTATTGTGGTTTTTTTTCCTTTAAACAGAAGCTTTGCAGACCTACACCCAAAAGGACAGCTGATGACAAGTAGCAGACTTTGCTTACAGCATGCAAGCGACTGTCAAGAACCTTGAGAACTGAGGATGCAGCTATCCCTGTTTTCTTATACTGTGGTGGATAAAACTAATTAACACCTACTACAACTAATGAAATCAGGACATCTCAGGTAATTAGTAATCTGAAGAGTTCATCAAATGCTTTCCTCAAAAATATGTAAGTTATAAAGTTCCAGCTCCAAGTGCCCACAGTAATGATATCAGATAACTTCTTTTTTTAAACCAAATTCAAAGGTGTGTCCGGTCACCATTCAAACGTTTGCAACAAAGTTCTAAGAGAGTGTAGGTGTCACATCTGTTAAGAGCTTAAGGAAAAGAGCAAAGAAAGCCAAGCCCCAGCATCTTACCTTTGTGTCAAGTTCTCATTAACAGCTGGAACCAAGTCAGTAGGGGTCCTGGGGTCTCCACTGCGGATGCTGTTAGCAGCTTTGATTGCCCTGTTATAGGCTTTGTCAAGTTCTTCCATAATAAATTTCAGGTCTGAAGAAAGGTGAGGTGCTGTGGTGAAGCGCCAGAACAAAGACGGTAGATACAGCAGGATAGCAACGAGCAGAAGGATGTATGGAAAGAACTAAAGGTAGAAAAAAATTCAGATTAGGCTCCACCTGCATATAAAGTCAGTCAGCCAGTCACCATAATTCCCTATTATAAATTCCCTATAAGCCTATTAAATTCCCTATAATTTTATTTAAATGTTTCTGGCAAAACCCACTTTTGTGGTTATTGGGGATATGCAGGGAAGCAAAATCTCTTTTCAGACAGCTCCAGTAACCTTGCTGCAGAACAGAGTTCCCACGATCCCGATAACATTGCATCTTCAGAACTGCACTGCTGGAGCTCAAATTGAGAAAGGCAGCCTTAACCTGGGGAACAACAAATAGCAAAGGCAACCAAAGCAGCTATCAGAAGAGGATGACTGGAAGAAGAGGACAGCATCACATAACTCTCCCTCCCCGATGTGTCACCACTGTTCACAGCAACTAAAATGCTCCAAAAACACCAGCAAAATCTCTGCTGCTCTCCATTAGCTGTCAGGAGGTTAACGAATAGATCATTTATAGTGCTGCATCTGCCTGCAAACACACATGTCTGTTCAGAGTGCGTGACACACAGTGACCGTAAAGGATGTAAGTGTGGCTGTAATATTTAAGGGTATGTAAATATTTTCATACCCCCTCAATGGAAACCAACACACAGCATCAGAACGGTCTGGTGTTAATGCAGCGCTGGGAAGTCAGCCCTTACACAGTCCCCACTGCTTAGGGAAAGGGCTGAAGCAGGTATAAAATACAACAGCTTGAGGTCTTTCTGTCTTTCTTCTTGTCATCACAAGTATGAGTTTTTCACCACGAGATTTACTCTCTAGTTCCCTCCAGCTGCTGGAAAGATGGTACTTTCTATCTACTGTGACATTATATTCAAGGTGTACATTCAGACATAACATTATTCTTACAGAGACATGGGGTAAGATCTAGTTAGACAGTTAACAAAATGTACTGCAAATTTGGCTAATTTCTAATTCATTACATTCAACTTTTGACAGTAAGCACACTTCACTCAAATCCAGTGTCAGTCGCTAAGAAATTTTAAATTAGTTGTGCTGAACAAATCTGAAACAGATTTAAGGCATCTGAAATGTTGCAGCTGTGCACACATGCACATTCATTGAAAAAGCCAACGGAGAATTTTAGAGGAAACTTGGACTGAAGTCATTAATTCATTGCAAATGGAACAGCTCCACTTACATTTGTAGATATTGAACAAGATGAGAGTCTGAACCTAATATTAATATGTTAAATTGTGTTTGCATTAATCTAGAGAGATTAGAGTTTTGGATGCACAAAATAAATAATCTGATGTTATTGAACATTTTATCCAGGAAAGGTACTTCTAATATCACCTACCATTAAAGAAAAATCCTGTGTTATTATTAACGCTAGGAATGCATACCACGTATGAGCACATAAATAAAAACTGACTTCTTAAAGGAACTGAATCAGCAACTGGAGACCATAATACAAACATTCTGAATGTGCTCCTTCTCTGCATAGCAGTCAGACTGGAAATTTCTGACACACAGTAAGACAAAAGCCATGAAAAGCATGAAACAGCCACGAAAACTGAGGATGCTGTCTTCAAAGGTCAGCTTTCCCTTGCAACCCTTCTTATAAATTCATACTTTAACTGTTTCTGCTCAGTAGCAACATAACTGAACTTGGCCAAAATTGCTACTTCAATCTCTAGGTAAGCCCTTGAGACAGAAAACCTCAAGACAGGCTCACCCATAAATCTGAAATGGGAACCCTGCAGGGATGGGCTAGCCCAGTAAGAAGATTGTTTCAAAAACCTAGTTAAGTTAGCAAAGCAGAGTTGACTGTAATTACAGCGCACATCCCACCAGAGGTAGCTCTTCCTCACCAGCAAGGAACAAGCATCAACCCCACACTGCTATATTGTAGCAGTGGTCTGTCCCCTCTTCACTGCAGGGGATTGACCTCAAAGGCCAGAGGGATCTAGGGAATTCCTTCGGACATCCTGGAATTGCTGAGGACTGCTAACCTGCCCAGTACTCCCACTGAATCCATACTACTTTCTGCACCATGAAACCATGCTCACTGAACGGATTGTCCCTAGACACCATCAGGAATTTCAGAGCTCCAGCCTACGCCAGCAGCCAAGACAGCCCTTGGGTGTGGGTGCTGCTCTTCTTTTTGAACTGCTAACTGCTTTTGACCACACTGAGCAAGCTCATTCTCTCAAAATCACGTCCTTACTGGCTGTAGACTCTCAGCTCTCAGCCCCACTTGCTGCACCCTTGACATGACCCTTCCCCTACGCCCAGCAGCCCGCAGAAACTGCGCAGAGCTCTGCCCTCACTACTGCATTTCTTCCCTCTTTGCACACAGCAGATAACCTCAGATCACCGGCTTTTTTCCAGGTCTATCCCTCCCAATTGAGATGTAAAGCTCTGGCATGTCCCATGTGTTTTTGTAGACATCTTGTCAACTCAAACCCAACAGCTCAAGAGTCTGCCCTTCACATTTATCACTGTGGACAATGCCACCAGGTCTCACAGGTCTAAGTCCTGGATGCCTTGGTCTACCCAAAGCTTTATGGTTCCATGTCCAGGCTCTTTACTCTTCTGAATTCTGTATTATGTAGAAATAGAAATGACATACAGCTTAAACTTCCTAAACTCCTCTAAGCTGCTGCAACATCCTTTCCATAGGCCTTAACAAATGCCAGCTTGTATAAGATGGCTGCAAAGCACTTACTTCTGTGTCATACACCTCTTGGCACCCTTCCACTAGTGCCAGGCAGGGAAAGAAACAGCAAAGAAACATCTGATTTAGTAAGAAGCACCAAAGATTCTCACATTGGTTTATACCGCTTGGCTTTACTACTCACTCATTTGAAATTTTACAGGCATCAGAGGATTTATGAATTTCCTTTATGACCCTCGAAATTGGAAATGCCACCAGCAGTATCCGATTAATCCCTGAGCTCTCCTTACCATGAGGCCTGCAAGACAGGTGGCAAGAGGCAAGACAGGTGACACATTGAAGTCACAGCCCAAAACGGCCATTGTCCCAGTCCCCATCTTTATCTTTATACCTAGAAAAAGACTCTGTGGGCACGTTCTGCACTTGTGTAGTTCATTGGTATCAGCCCTGTTGCTCTGTCACAGACCTCCTCCAATTCCCCCCATCTCCCCTGCCTCATTACAGACTGTTGCCTTACAAAAAGCAGCCTCTGCCATCTTCCCCTGCACCTCCTCCTCACCCTGACTCCTTCACCACTGCCCCTTCACCTAGAAGCATCACACTACTGGGGCAACAGCACATCTGCCACGTGTATACTGGGCTTCCCCTTGCCAGGCTCTCACCACTCCTAAAGCTGTAGCTTATGGCAGCATGAGAAAACACTATGCAGCTCTTTTCTGAATGGTCTCAAAACCAGAGCAGCAGTGTGACCATTCGTCCAGTTCTTTTTGTTTGGAAACAAAAGCCTGTATTTGTCAGCCCTTCCACAGCACTTGATGCACGACTCCATCATTCTCGGATTCTGGCTTTTTTAAAAATGAAAGATACACTTGTTCTATCTCTTAACAGCAGGCTTAGATAACGAGCAAATTGTTTTGAACCATTAAAATTTAAGGCCTTGAACCGACAGGCAGAAGTGAAAATGCAAAGTCATCTGGCATGAGTCCTAGGTTTCAGAGAAACAGACTCAATTATCCAGCTCATCTGACTACATTTTACAGTCACACATAATGACTTCCCATTTTAAGAAGAGGACTCCGTGGTATTCATACACAGATGAGCACGTGCCATACATCTCTCTTTTATGGTTTATGTATTTACTTCCAAGGCACTTAATACACAAGGAGGAAATGCTACTTCAGTCTTGGATAGTTTGTAGTATTTAAGTAAATAGGAAGCATCACCAACCTCAAGAACCGTATGGTCAAAGACATGCCAGAGAAAGTATTTGCCTAAAAGTAAGATTCAGTTTTTCCTTTGCTGTTTAGTTACCAAGCTCCTTTGCAATGCAAGTTCACAATGTTGTGTGTAACATGGTACGAGACTGCATAACTGAAGAAAGGTCCTCTGAAAGCAGATTAGAACAGATATATATCAGAATAGCTACAATATCCTATGGTTCAAAATGCTCCTTTCAGAACCTCATTAATGAAAGTGCATTGAGGGCTACAGCACCGTACTTCAACCTGGATGCCCCAAGTCTTCATTTCAACCCAGCTGCAAGGAGGAAAGAACAGGCAAAAGCCCATTGAGTTTGGTACTCAAAAACAGAGTAGCAGAGCTTCAGCTAGGATAATCCAGGTTTCTGGAAGTTAGGCATAGGTACTGTGTGATTAATATTCAGCATGAGACCGACAAAACTAGTAGTGTATGCACCAGGGACTCAAACTAGAGTCCCCTATACGTTTTCTGCCAAGTATCGCTGAGTTCCTGAAAGCCAAAGATGATGGAAGCAGGTTCACCTGCCCTGCTTGTCCCTTAGCTTGATGACACGCTGGGTGGGACGAGCTCCAAATGAAGCTGAGCACTAGGAAGCCAAGAGGTAAACTGCCCCTCATTCTGTAGTGCCACAGTTCATTTCACTTGACAAACCTCTGAGCTCTGTATACATTACAGGCTATACCTGAAAGCCAAGAGTACTTAATGCCTGAGTAGGATACAACTGACAACTCAGCATAAGAATCCGCCAAAGCCAGTGTTAACCAGTACTGAGGAGGCACTGAAATCCAAGCCTTATCTGAGCAGAAATCTGTTCAGAGAAGGATTCCTCCCTCCAGGCTAAAAGGTGTGTGCTCAACATCAGTGCTCTGCAACAAGTAGCTGAAACAGGAACTGCAGTTAGTGCCTCTCCATCTCCCTGCCATACTCAAGAGTAACACAAGTTATCATCAAAGCAAATAATTTATGCACATCAAAGCTCTTACACTTCATAGATGTGTGCTGTTTTCTTACATCACTGACTGTAAACAGGTTGAGCAATTTTAAATCAATACTAACTACTATGAACAGTGAAGAAAAATAACCTGCA